TCAGTTGTGGTTGAAGCTTCTGTCACAGACATGCCAACTGTGATCAGTAATCTACCAGAGGAAGAGACACCACAAACTGTAAAACAAGTAAGTGAGGAACAGTCAGACATTCAAAGTGAATATAAAGAAATGAAAGATAGTGCAGAGACTGGAAAAGAAGTTGAAATTAAGAGCACTGGTGATGAAACTGACACAGCTGCCATCAAAAGCCCATTAGAAAAAACTGAAGACATGCAGATAATGAAAAGTGTTGTCGATTGTACTGACAAAAACACAACATCAGATAATGTGGGAGTGGAACAAGAGAAAGCTGTTGCTGAAGGAGAAATAACAATTCCAGTGATAGAAAAGCAAACTGAGGAGCCACTGGGAGTGGCTGGTGAAGAGCAAATGGCAGTTGCAGATGCTGAAAAATCAGCTGAGGAGCCTTTGAAAGTACATGTTAAAGAAGAAACAGCAGTCGAAGATGTGGAAAAATTAAATGAGGAACCTTTGAACGTGGCTAGTGACGAAAAAACAGTAGTTGCAGTTGTGGAAAAATTAAATGAAGAACCTTTGAAAGTTGTTGGTGACGAACAAGCAGCTATTGCAGATGTGGGAAAATCAATTGAGGTACCTTTAAAAGTTGTTGGTGATGAAGAAACAGCTATTGCAGATGTGGAAAAATCTACTGACGAGGCAACTGTAGCTGATTCAGTGATAGCAATTACAGAGAAACCTACTGCAGAACCCATTGTGGGTGGAGTTATAACAGAGACAGCAGTTTCAGAACCAGTAAAACCTATCAAAGAGGACTTGAAATCCATACCTGAAGAAACTGCGAAGGAACCAGTTGAGGCTAAAGTAGAGCTTGCAGAGGCTAGTAAAGAACCTGTGCATGGATTAGAGAAACCTGTTGAAAGTGGTAACTCCGTTGCAGTGATCTCCTCATCAGATGAGGGAAAAACTGTTGCTAGCAACTCACCAGAAATCATGACATCTCAAGCTGAGGGGCCTTTGAAAAGTCCATCGTTGGGACCTGCTAGTCCTCCACCACAGCAACAACAACAGCAGCAGCCTAGGCCAGGCATGGCTAGGCCACCTGGGCCACAAGGACAAAGGATGGGAACACCAAGGATGGGAGGGCCTCAGATGGGTGGCCCAAGAATGGCAGGACCAAGAATGGCAGGACCAAGAATGGCTGGACCAAGAATGGCTGGACCAAGACAGCCAGGACCACAGAAACCCCCTGAAGCAGCTCCATTTTCTGGCTTTATGTCCATGTTTTCTACCCCAAATACCCCAAGTAAACCACCAACTGTTGGTGGATTTTTTTCAAGTTCGCCTGGTTCATTTTTTGGGTCATCACCTGCTCCTCGTCAGCCACAACAACCACAGCAGCAACAACAACAACAACAACAACAACAGAAAAGCTCATTTTTTGGACTTCCAAGTAGCATTGCTACAGAATCCCTTACTAGCGACCTATTTGGTATATTCAAAGGTCCTGAAACTACAAAATCTGAGGAACATCAACAGTCTGGCACAGAGTCAGGACAGGGGGATCCTAGTGCAACAGTACCAGTCTCGGGGGGCACTGAAAAGACAGATGCAGAGAAGACACTCCTATCGGGAGATGAACATGTTAAAAGCTCTGAGGACTCTGAGGTACCTGAAAAAGGATTACTGGAGGAGGCAGAACGAAAAGACAAAACAGAGGGAGAAGAAAATTCTGTTACCGAATCCACCATGACAACGGCTTTACCTGAGAAAGAAGCCAGGAATGATGAGCATGAGCACTTAGAGGAAACAGGTTCTGCAGTGTCAGACAAAGTCCCACCATCCCCAGCTCCTGAAACCAAGGGCATGTTTGAAATACCAGGTTTGACTGCCTCTAAATTTGGCTTTATGTCTGTAGCTGCTGAGGGCACATCTTCTATTGGATCCCTTTTCTCCTCCACTCCACCTCCAGCCACTGGTACGAAGACACCACAGCCACAACAGACAGACGGTGGCCTCTTTTCTGGTTTTAAAAGCATTTCAGCTGGTATCTTCCAGGATGAAAAGCCAACTGGAAAGGAAGAACCATCATCTGGTCCATCTGTGTTTGGCATGAAACTTGGCTCAATGTTTGGGAACTCTGACCCTCCCAAAGCTGAATCTCTTCCTCCGGTGGTCACAGCCCAAGCTGAGCCCCAAAGTCCAAAACCTGCGGACGAAGCTTGCGAGCCAGAGTCTGATAAACTTTCCCCAGGTTCTGGAGAAACTGAAGAAGCCAGTGATACAGAGGGACCAACAGAAACTTCAAAAACAGGAAGCTGTGACACCTTAGCACAATCACCACAGTCTGACCTCCCCTCTGACCCAGTTTCCTTAGCAGAAGGTTTGGATAAACCCCAGGTAAAGATCACATCATGTGAGGCAGATAAGAGAGAAGTTGATACACCTGACACCAGGCATGCAGATCTGGGCACAGAGCAACCAAAGGACCTGTTGACAAAGGAAGTCACGAAAAGGCTAGTACAATTTGTATGATAAATGGTGTTGTCCGTTTATCATGGTGATGTAGACAAATGTCTAGCCCCTTACTCTTCCCTCCCATTCAGAGCTTTCCTTTTTACTGCATTTGATATCAGTAGATCTGTATTCACCTTCTTTACCTTACCTTTACCTTGACTTTAAAATCCTAGACATGTTAGATTTAAACATTTTTAGATTTACTTCATCCAAACCAATATCTGGTTTAGAATATAATTCATACCCACCTCACAGCCACACTGTAAATAAAATGATTTAGTAAACATCCGATTGAGAGTTTCATCATCAAAGCAGTAGGGAAGGAAATTATCACATCTGCATGAGTGGTGCTCAGCATTATGTGTTAATGTACTGGAGCTATTTTGTACTTACCGTACCTCAGTAATAGCTTTCCTGACAGTGATGGAAGTGCAATGAAAGAGGAAACTGATGGTCTTTATTTACGTTTCACTTGTGAGGCGTGTATAAAGCCCCTCCTTCCTCTGTCCCCTGCAGTGCTCTGAATTATTCTGCAAGCCTCAGCCAATTTGTTTATATGAATTAAAACTCTGATAGATTTATGATGGGGTGGCAGTGCACACCATGAAGGCAGCCGGGACACTGGAATAAAAGGACCAGTGAGAAGTAATTTGGCCTACAGCCAAGACAAAGTAAATCATGCCAGTTAAAGCACAGAGCCACTTTCATTGTTAGCAGTCTTAATCATCCAGCCACAGAGAACTCTTATTCACTCACCTACTTATGAGTTTCATCAAGCAGGTTAAGTGTATCCCTACTGCTTTAACAGAGTTCTTAACCTTTATGTTTCAGTCTTATTAAAAAGGTTAAAGAATTGTGAATAATGTGCATTTACCATTGTATGGTACATATATTAATAGATCCTGTAAATGTACTGTAGTAGAGGTAGGTGAATCAAAAAGGTTATTTCTTTGTCCTGCACTCACACACTGGCTTTTAGGCAGCGCCTTTAGAGCTGTGAAGAAAGTGTAATAGCTGGTCTCATTATCAACACAACGCTTTAAACATGCAGTAAGACCACTCTTCGTAGAGAGGGCTGAGGATCTCTCAGCCCTATCTTGACATGATTGTTAAAGAAATCTGCACTCAGCTTTTGTTATATAGCTCAGTGGTTCTTCCAGACCCCCATTGGTAAGATTCCACTTCAGGGACCTCCATCTGAAAAGATTCTGGTTATTAGAGATGATTAAGACAAAAATGCTACAACTGTCAACTACAATTGGAGAGATAACCTTGGAGAAGGTGAAAACTATGATCAGAATAGTCACTCTTATGACTCTTATCATGTTGGGCTGACATCTATAATGAATTAGATAGCTAAAATAAACTATTCCCCAGTTTTGTAGAACCCCTGGAACTCCCTCAAGGACCCCTGGTTGAGTACCACTGATTTAGGGTGCTTTCACACCTGTCCTGTTTGGTTCGGTTCAGTCGAACTCAAGTTCTTTTGCCCCTAAAGTGCGGTTCATTTGGGCAGGTGTGAACACAGCAATCACACTCTGTTGCGCACCAAAACTGGACCAGGACCTTCATGAAGAGGTGGTCTCAGTCTGGTTACAAAGGAACCTAATTTGTTTGTGGTGAGAACGTGTTCCGACCTGGATCCGAAACAACTGCAGTCACATGACACATTGTTTGGGTTGAACATGAGCATGTTACAGTCCTGGAGGATTATTAATGTGCACCTCCTCCTGTACTGCCTTAATATGCACATTCAGCACATCCAATGCATCAAAACATTGTTTTCTAGTTGGAGCCGCGCCTCGTTTTCAAACTGTATGGTTTGACTAAAATGAACAATGACAGCAATATAGTCCACGATGAGCAGCGCTAAAATCAACCTGCGTAGTTGTTCCTCCATTGTGACATTAGAAAGTGTCACATTTATCTTGCAAGTGTACTCTTCTTCAACGTTTTGTTTACTTCCTGGATTTTTCCCACATGGAAATTTTGACCAATCAAGAGCAGCTTTCTTGCGCAAGCGTTTTATCTGGTCCGCTTGTAAACGCTGCCGTGAGAACACGAACCAACTCTCTGCAATTATGCAACTTTGTAACAAAATTAGTCACTGATTCAGACCAAAGCAATACAACTCTAGGTCTGAAAGCACCCTTAGCGTAGCCAACAGAACCCTGTTAGTTTTCCCTGTTATGTGTCACCGTCCTCCCTGGATGTGATGATGATGAGCTTCTTTTACCCCCAGTTTTTGTTTTAATAAATAAATAAAATTGTTTCCTTCCAAAATCACTGTTCCACACTAAAAGTGGATGTAAAGAAAAAGACATTTTCTGCTACAATAATTTTCTGATTATCTACATTTTTGAAAAACACATGAATCTCAAGTGGTGATTTCCTAAATTTCCTAAATTTTGGAATTCAACTTTTTGATTCTGTAATTACAGTATAAGTCCATGTTGCTTTCCCAAATCACCACCATATTCTAACTCTCTCTCATTTTCCTACAGCCCACCAGACAGCAGTCGCTTTGATTCATCAGGCAACCTTAGCCCAGCCAGCTCCCAGCTCAGTTCTGAGCCTGAGGAGCGCCGAGATCCAGAGACCCACCACCCAAGTACCCTACGTCCTCCTCTAAGTAACCAGAAGTCTACCTGGGATGAGGAAGAAGAGGAGGAGGAGGAGGAAGAGGTTGAGAAAGAGCTACATCCACTACCAGAGCCTGGTTCCAACAAAGATTTGAAGGACTCGTCTGTCATCCTGCCCAGGTCGATCTTGGACAACTGTGATAACAAGACTCAGACTAAAATCAGGTATGGAAAAAATATACACATCTGGGTTTCAAAAAATGTACTGGTTTTACATTCCAGTGAGCACAGCCTAAAAAAAGGACTGGCCAGCTCACTCAATGTAAAGGTCCATGGTACAAGCAGGCAGTCCAAAAATGCATCCAAGGCATTCCTGCAGTATATAAAAATCCTTTATTGATTCAAGGATAAACCAACAAGTTTTGACTAGAGAGTTTTCATCAGCATTTTTAAAAAAAAATCAATGTCACAATACGTAACATTGAAATTCCTGTCTTTTTTCTTTCTGTAATACCAGGTAAATGGTTTTAAATGTTTGATGATTCATACTGCATTCAGGAGCATTTACAAAAGTTCACCCAATCAAATAAGACTTTGGTCCACTAGCTATCCACACTGGTCATATAAAACTGCACTTCATGGGTTGCAGTTGCTAACAGAGCAATATGTAGAGAGATGGGAAGACATGTTTGGATATATGTGGGAAAAAAACATTTTCATTTCCAAAACAATGTGGCAGAGGTCTCATTCTTTCATCTCTTCCTTGTCCTCCGTCTTATATAACAATGAAGGAGACATGTGTGAAGCCAGTCCCCCTCCTCAGTAGTCCAATCGAATGCAAATGTTCAAATATTCTATTTCACTGGGAAGTACATCACAGTACAGAACCTAAAGATGGTCTAACTTCCTCTTCACTGGGACTTTAAGAGTTAGTTGGTGGGAAAACAGTGAGGGATTATGTGCATGAAGGTGGATGTGGAACGTTTACTTGTAATGTTCCTCAATGCATGAGTTGACGACGTGAATCCATCAGCACACCTTAAATGTAAATGTGACAACTTTGACAATCCATTAGTTTTTATTGTCTTAGAAGCACTAAATGCACAAACCCTCTATTTTTAAATATCCCATCAGCCAGTTCTATTTTGTTCTGAAAATGTCAGCGTGCAACCCCGTTCTGTGGATGATAAACGATGTGCAGACTGATAAAGAAAGAAATACAGTGAGTGCTAGGCGGAGCAGTGAGTGACAACAACCCTGCCCACATGAAAGAGAGCTGTTTGCGGTGGAAATGCTAGGGTTAAGGTACCATGTCTAAAGGGTTATTTTTGGTGTCAAAGGTACCATACCGTGGATGGAAATGGGGCTTATCGATCACATTCACACACAGTCACACACTGGTGGCCAAGGATACCATACATGGTGTCACAGGCTCCATTATCATTCACATGCACACACACACTGATGGAGCAGGCATCAGTAGCAATTTGGGGTTCAGTATCTTGCCCAAGTGAGATGCAGACTGAAGGAGCCTGGGATCGAACCACCAATCTTGTGGTTATGTAGCACTGACAAGGACCATAGCTCAGGGCAACTGGCATCTCCAGTTTTGGAAGGCAAAACAATGGAGCTAACTGACCCTCCTGTGATGTCCTATAGGATAGGTTCACATTTTTAAAAACTCAGCCTTGAAGCAATAGTCAGGTGCTTGTTGAATACAGTTTTGCACAGGAGGACAGATTTTGTCCCCCATAACTTCCATTGGAAGCATTTTGTGTTATCTCTGATGATTACAGCAAGTAAACACAGTTTCGTTCTTTGTTACGACAATAGTATTATTTTTAGACTGACTTGAAAAATCTTTTTACTGTTTTACTGTCAAGTGTGCCATCTTTTTGAAACTTCTCCCTTTGAAGCTGTTGATCTTTTTTGCTTCATCTCTCTCAGTTTCTTTGAGGATGGCCCTCCACCGTGCTCTCCTTCCAAAGTTCGCTGGCTGAAAGCATACAACAAAGTGAGAGTGCAGCTCCTTGAGGTAGGAAGGCTGGCTTTCTTTGCACACCCCAACTACTCTCCCTTTGTCTTTTTCTCTTTCTTACACAGTCAAACACACACACACACACACACACACACACAGATTTGCATATACATACAGATTCAGATATACAGGCACATGAACATTGCTCTTTCTCTCCTCTCTCGTGCAATTGTACTATCTCTACCTCTTTCCCCTATGGGTTGGTTGAGTTTTCAGTCATGCCACAGCAATTTACACCAATTTTGTGCTCCTTAAGGATTTCCACTTTGATCTGATAAACCTCTTTTGAGCATGGGTTTCTTCAGATCCAGCTATCACTCTGCTGTTACAGAAAGTTTTTAGTTCCAAGGCATGGAACTGTGAATTAAAATGACCCCTCAGATTATAGTAGCAAGCTCCTGGGGGTGGATTACAGTTTACCGTGGTGTTGGGGTCTGTATAAGTACTGCAAATGTCACAGCTATCTGTTGTGGCTTTTTCTTTTCAATGTCATTTTGTGTAAGTCATTCTATGAACTAATTACTAAAACATTGTGTATGTATCCTCATACCCCTCAAAACCCCTTAATATGGCAAACTCTGCTGCCTTCCCTCACCTTGTCTTAGGCCGTTGCTATCGCACAGACCCTTGAGGTCTGATTGTGTTTTCCCGTTAAGGTTGTGTGCACAACTAATAAAAACACTGGATGTAGCTTTTCAAAATTTTTTGAAGGCCATGCAGGAAAAACAAAAAAAATAGAGAGATACCAATTTGAAAAATACTTGGACATTGTAACAAACACTGAACGGAAAGACCAAATAATAGTGCATGTGGTATGTTAACTTGACATCTCACAAAAGTGGAGGATGAAGACTGTTTGTCGTTCTCTGTGTCTGTGGAGAGAAGGTCTCATCAGACACATCTCACTTCTACACTATGTTTAAACTCTTGAAAGATATAGATTTATTTGCAATCTAATTGTTCCACAGTAGAGATCTATAATCAAAGTTAAAAGGAAGGTAGTCTTAAGAATCAAAGAGGATGTGGCTGGTAGAGTCAGGCTCAGGGCTTTTGTTGCTTTTTGGTCCCCATTCCCTAATTTCCTGTCATCTCTCCTTTGACAAGTCTGTACGACAGGCATAAAAAGCACCAAAATACTTTAAAAGAATTAGAGAGGGTGCAGAATGCCTTGTTTTGGGGTTGCAGGACAAAACAGGGATTGTAATCTTTACTGTAATCTCTTGCTGTGTCCTTGAACCACTCACTGAATAAGCCAAAAAAAAAGAGTACGAAAATTTTGTGCCATTTTGTGACATCCATTGATTTTTGCAAAGTACAAATCAAGTATTTACTCATTTCATGTTGTATCCTAAGTGCTATATCGTAGGCAACTGGACTTGGTTGAGTTTCTTGAAGATGTTTCACCTCTCATCCAAGAAGCTTCAGCTCTAACGGACTGGTGCAGAGTCGCAGGCTTTAAACTCTGTGTTGGTGTGAACCCTTACAGAGTCGTTAAGGTCACATGTGAGTCGTTGACCCACCTGGCCATCTTGTGTGTCGTTAGGCTTAGATGGGTCCAGGTGTGAATGGGTGTTAAGTCATCTAGGGAGGGATCCCAAGATTGCATTGGAGGTGGTTTATAAGTGGTGTCGCAGGCCAGCCCCTCTGTTTAATGATGGTTGTTCGAGATTGACGTAGATAGCTTCTTTCTTGCCTCTTTCAAACCGTCTGTCTTCTCTGGCCAAGATGTGAACATTGCTGTCCTTGAAGAGCCCGGTCTCGCTCTTAAGTCATCAAAATCCGGCACTTGGGCAGTGACTTGCAGCATCAGAAACCAACAAAAAAGGTGTCCTTTAACGTTGACATGATACCCGACTGGTTGCCATTATAGTTCAACCGCACCCAGTGGTGTCAGGGGGAAACGTGGCGGGACAAGGATGAAAGTCAAGGTAGTTTAAGTCCAACTGGGGCGGGCAGGAGAGATGGTGGATGGGTTTTCTAAAGCCCTGTTCTTTTTTCCTAAACCCAACCACATGTTTTCATTGCCTAAACCCAAGCAGTTTGTTGAAGGAAATCGGATGTGAATCTTAAAAGAAGACATTGCATGTAACAGGCAGAACTTGACACAGTGTCCCAGAACGTCAACAACCAACGCACCCAGGGTACCTTGCAATTTGTACTGGACATAGATGTCAATATGTGACGAGGTCGGAGTGATTAAGTGTTGCCTCAGAGATGTCCCTTCTCCTTTAGACTTAAATGGACAGCTGAGTCTTGACCTGAGGAGCCAGCTTGCCTGTGTTGTGCCATGCGCTTGTGGAGTGGTTGTTCTGTTTCACAAATGTAAAAATCTGTGCATTCATCTACTGCACGAAAGTATGAATGTTGGTCCTTTGACCAGAAAACCTCTGACTGAAACAAACAAAAAGTTTTTTTCCATGGACATTCAGGGAAACCAGGAGATAAAACCTTGCATACACACAGCTGGACACACTCACAAACTTGTTTTTTAACGACTTGTGTGAAAATATTACGCTGACATAGATTTATCCATTGGATGTCTATTTTAACCCAACCCAACCAAACCCTTTCCTTAACTCATCCAGGTGTAATCCTAACTTTAACCCTGAAACACAATGTAATTAGTACACACACACACACACACACACACACCACTGCAAGCCAGGCTTTGATTACATGCTGTCTGGAGATGAACTGTTACCCCTGCTGCCCCTCCTGTTGGCTCCTCCTGGTGTGATTGGTCCAATCTATTCATCTCTGATTACCTTTGAGCTGAAACCCGTATCTATTTGTTTTCCTTGCACCCCCAGACCAATTTTTCCACACTTGAAAACCACTCTCATGTCCATTTTTATTTAAAATTACAATCTGTTGACATGGACTCTTAGAAATCTCATTTGTTTCTTATCGAATAGAGGGAAACAAATTAAGCTCTGAGCGGAATTAAATCTCGAGAGTTTGCTGACTTGAAAACATAGACTGACAAATAACACAAACTTAATTCAGTTGAGCTACCAAGAACAAGGGGACAAGTGGGTTCAGGGCCCTGTGTTAGCAAGCATCCACGTTATTGAAGTGTCCTTGAGCAAGACACAGAATCCCTGTTGTCCAGTGGCTCCTCCTGTAATCTGACCTACCTGATAGAGTGCTGAGAGAAATGAGAATTTTCCTACTGGGACCAGTAAACTGTTAAATAATTTATGACTCTTCTCCCAAGAAAGACCCTCCGATTGCTTAAACAATAAACCTGGTGGTCTGTCCGTCATGAATCCCATCCCTCTTTTTAAACAGTCCCTCTCAAGAGGCAAATATCAACGCACCTCAGACAAGTAGTTGCACTGTTATGAGACAGAGTCATACGTTTTCAAGGTGATGGGTCAAGAACACAGAAATGACAGCAGCATTTACTTACCAGGCAGAGGTGGTCTAAGGACAGATTTATTGAGTAATATTGTAATATTGGATGTGTAGGATTGACAGTGTATCTCCGTCACTGCTGCATCAAGTTTTACTTATTTTTATGTCTGTCTCTTGTATCTATATTTTCCAATTTGGAATTGCTGAAGTACTGCCATAAATTCTATCACTTATCTTTTTGTTGAAGCGACTTGAACTTCCTCATATATGTACTGTTAGCAATAAAAACCAGTCAGATTTCGCGGTGGCTCATTTCTAGATAAATGTTGATTAATGTCAACATCCAGATCTTTGGTCATTTTGTGGTTTTATTTGATTTTAAATCAGCAAAGTCTTGGCTTTCAGTGTATACATTTTTCATTGCCATATTCAGACGGTAAATAAAGTTTTAAATCTTGTAAAGGCGTGATAACAAGCTTGCAGCAAACACTTGGATGGTAAATGGACCTGCATTTATATAGTGCCTTTCCAGTCATCCGACCACTCAAAGCGCACTGGTGGTTGAGGCTACCATCAAGGTGCCCCCTGCTACTCAGTTTTTTTTTAACACACTCACACATGGAAGCATCATTGGGAGCAATTTGGGGTTCAGTATCTTGCTCAAGGATACTTCGACATGCAGACAGGAGGAGCTGGGGATCAAACCGCTGATCTTCCTATTGGTGGATGACCCGCTCTACGTCTAAGCCACAGCTGCCCCGAAATTTTCAATAAACAAAGTCTTGTCTTTAAGAATATTAAAACCTCTTAAAACCCAGTGGGTGGCCAGGTATGACCAGCTTGAACTGGTTCTAAGCAGCTTAGCATTGCACATCAAAATATAATGTTGAAACTTTTGTCAGTATGGATATGCTACAAGTTGATAGCTTGGTTAGATTCTTCACAATTCAATCATTCAGTTCAGTTTACGGAAACCCTGAGCACTAAAGAATCAATTCAGATTTACCGGCATGGTAAATTACAGAGATGGAAAAAAGTACTGACTCCCTACCTTTGAAGCGGTCAGAAAGTCCCAGTATTGTACATCCATCCATCCATCCATTTTCATCCGCTTATCTGGGGTCGGGTCGTAGGGGCAGCAGGCCGAGCAAAGCACCCCAGACATCCTACAGCGGGAGGCGCCCAGGAGGCATCCTAGTCAGATGCCCAGACCACCTCAACTGACCCCTTTCGACGTAAAGGAGCAGCGGCTCTACTCCGAGCTCCCTCCAGATGTCCGAGCTCCTCACCCCATCTCTAAGGCTGAGTCCAGACACCCCACAGAGAAAACTCATTTCAGCCACTTCTATCCGCGATCTCATTCTTTCGGTCACTACCCAGAGCTCATGACCATAGGTGAGGGTTGGGACGTGGATGGACCAGTAAATCGAAAGCTTTGCTTCCCAGCTCAGCTCCCTCTTCACCACGACAGACTGGCACAGCGCCTGCATCACTGTAGATGCCGCATCGACCCGCTGATCCATCTCATGCTCCAGTCTACCCTCACCCGTGAACAAGACCCCAAGATACTTGAACTCCCTCGCTTGAGGCAGTAACTCTCCCCCAAACCGGAGAGGGCAATCCACCAACATGCCCCAGTG